CAACAGAAGCTACATTTGCATAGCATCAAATTTAAGGACAAAGTGCACAAAACATATTGATGTCAAGCATTATTTTGTGAGCAATCATGTTTCTTCAGGAGCATTGAAAATTGAAGCTATCGAGACCCGAAATCACCTAGCGGATGTTTTAACAAAAGCTCTGGAGTACCTACATACAATCGTTTCAAGAACCTTAGATCAAAAATAGAACTATCAGAGTGAGAGGGGGTATAATCTAGTTAGCAATCTGTGTGTATCCCTAGCTACATCACCCTAGTAACCTGATTGGTTAGTATGGCACAATAAGGTAGTTCGTAAGAAACCTCCGTTGAAGACACAAGCTTCTTAAACTATGTCCGGCTTTTATTCCTGACCGCAGGGTTACTTCCACTCACATGCTATAAAAAAAATATTTTTCGGAATTATGAAATCATTAGACGGTGTAATGATAGTTAGTACTTGCAAGTTAGAAGAAGAGGTTGTAAAGTATGGGTTTGACTCATAAAACCTGTCAATTTCGCTTTCAGAGCGTCGCCATCAGCGATTTTATGATTCGTGAGTGTTCACTCAGAGTGAGCGCTCACGAATCGTAAAATCGCTTATTGTGGTGCTCTAAAAGCAATATTGACAGATTTTATGTGTCAAACGCATACTTTAAAACCTCATCTTGTAACTTACAATTATTAATTATCATTACAACATCTAACGATTTCATAATTCGGAAAAACAGTTTTTTTTTATAGCCAGTGAGTGAAAGCAACCCTGCCTGACCGTACTATATTCCAAGATCAAGTTTATATAATTTTGTTAAAATATTTAATTCCATACATTTACAACTGAAAAACTGAAGGTTGTTATAAAGGACTTAACAATAATTTTAAACTACACTCAGGTAATTAATTTGCTGGATCTGCTTCTTTACAAAACGTTTATATGACGAACCGAAGCAGTGTTCCTGTTCCTGTTCCTATTATAATGTTTTCCAAACCATGCGCCATTTAAGTTGTATGACTTTGACGTAGAACTACGTCCTTCGGCAACATCTTGGGACTGCAATTTCAAAAAACCCAAATCGACCGCGTTACGAAAAGTGCTCAGGTTTTGACTACTTATAACTCTGTTATTGGATGGATTTTGATTCTTAACAAGCCTGCTAAAACGAACATTTTATCATTTTTCAATAGATCACTATTTAAAATAGAACAAATGTCCAACTGTTACAACGGGGATCAAAATTATCACCGATTGTAAGCAAAAAGTGCTTTCCCTAACACAGATTTCAAAATCGAATTCCATCCGGTCTCGCCGAACGGTGCTTATTCAATCACCGTGTGTGGTGGTTTCCGGTCGGTCATCATCATCAGCAGCAGCATCAGCAGTGCTTTCGACGCGTGGCGTTGAACATTGTTCTCCAGTACACAACAATAGGCTGCCCGCAAGCAGTGAGCTGCACCCCACATGAGCATGGATGGGAGCATACCATCAATTACTGTCAATGGTCGAAAGCAGCACCTACCCCACCCGTGTCCCCTCGAGATCGTCAAGTCGACGATGACAGGAGCACATATCGTGGTAGGGGTAAACAATAGTTGCAATTTCCAAAACCTACGACTGGATGCCTTCCTTCAAATAACAACTGAAGTGCGGTAAAAAATCGGTAGAACTGTTTCAAACACACAGTTGGTACTTGAGCGGGTCGGTTTTCATCTCTTTTTGCCAGTGGTGGCGGGGGGGACACCCCTCACCATCCCTCTCCAAAGGGGGAGTTTGGTAAAGAGAGATGAAAAAACCGATTTGTACCTTCCTTAAAAGTTGTCCTAGCTCGCTTGTCTAATATCTATATACAATCTTCACACTGCCGTACTCTAACGGAACTATCAACTCTATGCTTTCATCTACTCCATCTATCGTATAAAAATTACCACTACAGTCTGTTATTTGAAATTAGCATCTTCAACTATGTAAATCGTTGACTTCACGTAGAAGTAATACTAAAAACATATAGTCAAAGTAGTTAATAATTGTTTAAGATACTGATAATCTTATGGCAAGATTAAGCAACTGTACTGTGGGCAACACTGTATTCTGCAGTGTGGCATAGTAGCCATGATTTTTGTCCTCTATTCTGCGCGCTACCAATGTTGCCTGCTGAACAGTTTGAGATTGAGATAATCATAAGACATCAGTGACTTGAATCATTAATAGTTTTTGTTCCTTACATTTGATCGAAAAGTGGTCTTTAACAAAGTTGTAGCTGAGAAAATGACCAACAAGCTCAGCTATCATTTTCTAAAGTAGAATGAACTGGTGAATTTTGAGATAGATATGAACCGAAATTATGGTTTCTTCATAGTAACTCCCATATAAACTTCAAATGGTTTGTGCCAAGTCAGTTTCTCACAAAATGAGTTCAATTTGGCCCAATTTGGAACCGTTTGAGCACTGTCGAACAAAAATTTCAAATTTTGCATCAGTCTAATGAGTATCCATTCACCGAAGAAGGAGGAAGAAGCCGCTCTGCTACTGATCGGATTCAGAAGCTTTTCGTGAGTCACTGTGGGCCATATATGCCAAGCGCGCATCACCCTCGTTCCAAACAACATACAGCTCACTAGCCTCATCCCTGTTGAACATCCTAATAACTCAGCATTACTCAACCATCACGGCAAAACGGTTCTTTTCAGAACCACCATGCATTTGTTAAGGAGTATTTTCAGGACATTATCAAGGTCATCAATCGGATTTCAGTTCCCATAAGTTTAAATCTATTTTTAAGCGAACATAGGGGGTGCAGTTTCAAAAATCGAAGTCGGTCGCGGCATGAAAGTGGTCTGGTTTTGATCCAGAGATGATGGATTTTAATTCTTAATACGAAAATCGATAGGAATTTTTACTACGAATCTGTTGAAATTAAGACTTTATCAATTTTCAAAAGGTCACTATTGAAAATTACACGAATGTGCAACTGTTGCTATGATAACTAAAATTATCAACGATTGCCGCTTTACCTAACATAGATTTCAAAATCGAATTTAAGCCGAGTGCGTGGTGGTGTTCGGTCGTCTTCAGCAGCAGTGCTTTCGTCGCGTAGCATTGTAACTAGCAAGAAACTAGCTATCAAGGCTGCCCTCAAGAGCCCTCACTTCACCGAAGAAGAAGTAAGAATCCGCACCGCTACTGATTGAATTCAGTTGCTCGTCGTAAGCCGCTGTGAGCCTTCTATGCCAAATGCGTCACCCTCGTTCCAAATAACGTACAGCTCACTAGCCTCATCCGTGTTGAACATCCTAACAGCTCAGCATTACTCAACCATCACGGCAAACTGGTTCTTTCAGGACCACCATAAATTATTGTTGTTTAAGAGTTAAGTTTCATTCAACGTTCGCTCGCTTCTTTGATAATGTACCCAGCAAACAAACGTTAATGGTCAAATGCGTGGTACTTAAACATTCTCGCTATGACCGAATACCACATGACCTTGTCAATTAACCAGCAACATTTCGAATTAAAGTAAGGTTTTCTCCAGGACGCTCAAATTTATGTGACTGATCGCGAATATCTCGCGAATGGAAAATTTAGCAAGAAATTCCTTCAATCAATTTTAGCATTTTTTTTACTATTATTATTATCTATTGAATAAATCAAAAATTCCGAGCGTTTTGTGCACGAAAATGCGTAATTTGGTCATCAGATGCGTTTCCGTGAAGAGAAAAAGTGGTTTCCCCAACACAGTCGCCGAATATTGAAACCGAGCACGTAATCCTACGTCAAATCGTGTCTTGGATACAACCTCTTTAGGGTTGATGCATATATTATGTCACGCTCTAAGGGGGGAGGGGGGGGTCTAAGATTTTGTGACAAGCAATGCATTAGGTATAGGAAAAACGTCATGAAGGGGGGGGGGTAATTTTTTACTCGATTTAGCGTGACATAATTAATGCATGGGCCCTTATTGTTTTTATATATTTCTTTAAATGAAAGAGTACAAGTTGATACGAAGGAGTTGAACAAACTTTTAAATTACATTCTGCAGTTAAGCTGGCGCTTCTGCTGTTTTACAACACCTCTATATGGCGAACTGACTGCGTGTTGCACTTTTTTTTTTAAATTCAGATGTGAAATTGGGAACTCTGCGAAACTTTCCTAAAAATTTATTGGGAATATTTTGAAAACTTCTTGAAATTCGCTGAAGAACATCCATGCAGATTGTTTAAACCTCCCTGGCATTGATAGAAAAAAAAATAGAAATTAGTCTTCCCGATAAAAACAGCTGAAAATTATTGGATTGATTTCTTTGACATTTGATTTGAAATTCTTGTTTGCGAAAACCTCTGCATTATAAATCGTTTATTCCTCAACAATGCTTTCCAGCACTTCAGTAATTATCCAATCTCGTGTGACTCAACTCCACGTATATCCATTCAAAGCTCCAAAGGTTCATAAATCTTCCTATCACAGAGCTTTTTTTTAAGCCCGCACAAAAAGACACGCGTACATCCGAGCGGAAAGATTTATGATCGATTGTTATCTAATCGTCAGGTTGCATGGATTTACGAAATCTCGCGTCCCAACAGCATCTAAATGCACTCGCTCGCATATCTACCCAGCCCATGCAGAGCGGATAGGAAACAGCAATCGAACAATAAAGCTTCACAAGACGCGTACAAATTGGAAAATTGGAATTGCAAATTAATTTTCCTCTCCGCATTGCATCCATTCCCCTTCTTGTTATGGCGACTGTTGCACGAAAACTGGGGAATAACGAAAGAAATTGGTGCAAAAAATAAGAGCTATACGAAATTGGTCGATGTTGTTGTTTGGCACTGGCTTCGCAGTTATGCGATCGGAATGTTGGATCGGAATCGACGGCTAAATATGGATAACACGCCGGGTGTGAAAAATGGTTTCATAATCTAATCACGATAATTTGGTTTATGGACCAATTGAGTAAGATTTACTTATGATCGTGAAGTAATTGGGGTCTTTACTTTTTTTTGCAGACCACTCGGACGAATCAACGGACAAGATACCGACGACATCTACAGCGATCGTAACCAGTTGCATCTATCGAAACCAGTCGTACGATGTGAATGCGAAAGTTGAAATGGGATGCGACAAGATCTGCACTTGTAACAGTGAAGGCGAACTGGATTGCGTACCGCGGTGTCCTCAGATGAACGAAACCCGATCGGAACACTGCGTAACGGTCCCGGATCCTAACGATGCCTGCTGCAACCGTGAGTTTTGCGACGTGATTCTGGACGACCATGAACAAAGCGGAGGAATGATGATGATGGCCCCTTCGACGGCTGCACCTGCTTCATCGACTACTGCTGGCCACGGAGTAGTAAAAACCGATTTAAGCGGAGAAATCGATCAATGTGAATACAAGGGAAAGATGTACACTAAGAATCAACAATTTCATGACGAATGTAACTCACTGTGCTTATGCACGGATGCAGGAGTGCACTGTGCCAAGATTGAATGTCCTTCCCACTTTGGTCTCGATGTGTTAGATCCACACTGTCTGCGATGGGAACCGGAACCAGCAACGTTCCGTGCGATACAGCCCCGTTGCTGTCCAGAACGGATGAGATGCGTCGAAAACGGGACGTGTGTGTTCAAAGGTCAAAGCTTCGATAACTGGTCCGAGATTCCCAGCAACCTGACTGGTTGTGATCAACATTGTTACTGTGAATCGGGTAAAGTAGAATGTAGACCTGCTTGTCCACCGGTACCGGCTACTCCTCCGACAAATCTACCGTGCAATCCTAGAATGGCTAGGCTAGCTCCTCTACCCGACGATGATTGCTGCAAGCATTGGACGTGTTCCAATGGAGAGCCATCAATTACCGGTATGTACCGTCTCGATTACAGTCTGTGCTAATAACTAACTGCTTGAACTCTGTTCCTTTGCTATCTTCTTGACGTGTTCATAGCTCACAAGCACTTCTTCTCCCATAAACATTTCCCTCGCACAGTATCGTGTCATTTCATGTTCAAAACACACCTCTCTAATCATACCTTTCAGGCAACGATGTGCTTAAGCCCTTGCTTATGCCCGACACTATCAATCAGTTTCTCCCGACCAAGTCGCCCAAAAGTGAGAAAGGAGAGAAGGCGAAACCAGAGAAAGAACCGGAAGCGCCTAAGGAACCTCAACACGTCCCATTCTATCCCACGGTCGATGGAAGGCCGCCAAAGGTCCCCCAGGAGAAACCCCATAAGAAACATCCTAAGGAGGATTCTAAGAAGGATCATTACAACAATATATACCCTGGCGGTGAGACTTCGGGACCGGGCGATTACGGCCTCTATGGCGAAACCCAAAAACCAGCAACCCTCGGCGTCCAACGACCGGGGCCACCTGGATATTACGGTCCAGAAATCAAACCCGGCTACAACGACTACAATCCGTACATCCACGTAAACGGTCCACCTGGTTCGGTTCCCCTTCCACCCGGTGGCCAACTGCCTCATCATCCCCTGGACAAGCAGCTCATCAACGCACTCGGCGGCAATCCGCAAAACATTCCCCCCAACATTCGCATCGAACAGTTGCTTCAGCAGATTCATGCCACCGACCCCAATACCGGTCCCATCCTGCACGGTCAGAACATTCCCTTCCAGCATCCACCGGCGGCTTCAGCCAACGGTATTAACTACAATCAGTACGGTGAGCCGCTAGACATTGGACTTGTACCGCACCAAAGACCGCACCAGGCACCACCATCACCACCAACAGGTTCACATTTTGCACGCATTCATTCGTATTGCTCTCTTCCTACTTTTCCCTATCTACTTCCAAAAATCTACTCATACTATCTGATATGCTCTGCATCGTGCTTGTGTGTGCCTAAAAATGTTTCTGTGGGCTGTATTTTTTATGTTGCATACCAAGAGCTATCAGCAGCTAGACCATGGGTCGGTGATTCTATGGGGTTGCAGCCGGGTCTTATCCCGACACTTTTCAGCATCTCGCGGTCCGGAGCCAATAATCTCTTGAAAAGCTTATAAAAATTTGTAATTACAGTCAGCGCTGGAATAGGCTTTTGAGGTTTTTCAAAAAATTTATGACTTTCCAAAAGGGTTTGGCACTTGGCTCTAATTTCGAAACATTATTTTTTAAAGTTTTGTTCTTCTGGGCAGATTTTTGCAAATCCTGACAGATAACTTTCAAGGCAGAATCGCGTGTTTTTTTATATTGCCTTCTACGGACATTTTTCAGACGGATTAAGACCTGATGATCGTCGTCTATTATAATTGAATTGAATTTAACCTCGCATTTTGGTACTGCGTCACCTCTTGCTTCAACTATAGAAATAGTCAGAGATTCAAGAGCATAATTGGTTTCATAGTTGGTATGCAAAGGAATTTTTATCTCAAAGCTATACTCCATAAATATTCGATCATCATCTATGGCAATTGATAGTAGTGCTGTTGGGATTAGAAATTATTTCTTGGGATATTTCAAAAGTTACTGGAAGGTGATCATAATCGAAGTCAGCATGGGTAACCAATTGGCTACAAAGTTGACATGAATCAGTTAAGACCAAATCAATGATTGAGGGATTTCTTGCTGAAGAAAAGTATGTTGGGTTGTTTGGATATTGAATAGAGTTAAGAATCATCAAACAGAATATTACCATTGGAATTGCTTCGAGCATTATTCCATAAGCGGTGTTTTGCAGTTGTGCAGTGCTATTTCAGTTATAACGGCAATATGCACGTTATGAACTCTCAAAAAGTTAAATAGCTCGTCCTCATTATCTCTAAGAGATCTAGCATTCCAATTCAAAACATTTAATGATTTAAAATCCATTACTGAATTTCAAAGTCATGACGATTATTCGCAAAATTAAATCCAGTTTGAATAGCATCAAAGATGGAGTTGGTTTTCAGCATATCAGTAAGCATGTCAAATAATGATTTCTGTAAAAATTCCATTTTGGAAGCAGTAATGCTTCCTAAGTCAAAAATATCATAGTTTCCGTTAGGCTAGCTTTTTCTTAAGCCTGAAGGTTGTTTAGTTCACAAGACATGAAGTGAACTTAATAAAAATCATTCGAAATCCCGTTGCGTGAATCACCAGGATGGGATTTCATTTTCATTGTGATTACTTGGACAGGCTCAACAGTTAATTCATCTTTGATCTGACCCAGGGATTCACCACTGGGCAGACCTTTCAAGACAACCTTGAACAGACGTTCAGTTTTGGTGTCATAAGTAAAAAAAAATATATGCTGCTTCTCAGTACGGTACACGGATAGAAATCTCCTTATACCTTTTGGCAAATTTCCATTGCTGATTATTCATAAAATGTATAAGTCAACTAATGAGCAGACGCCTTGCAAAAAGTTAATAAAGATCATGTGTCAAATGAAATGTATAAGCGGTCACACATACCTTTTATGCATTCTAATAGGACCTATGTGGTTTGTCTTATGGAATGTATAAGGCTGATGCTTTGGCAAAAATATATAAGTGAAACACATGAATTAAATAATTGATTTTCGTTTCGTGTACTTGAGAAGACATTTGAATATGTCCAAGGTTTCTGCCAATACACGGCATTCACCTCGACGACCAATTTGCAGTGAAACTTGAATTTCACGAAGTTCAAAAGTTCCTTGCGAACAGCATGTGAATAGGAAGTGATTACAACGATAGGGGGAACCTTTTCCTTTTTGGCATTAAGCCGGGAATGTTTAATGGAATTTTGCCTGGATGATGGAGCATTTTTATCATCCGTAAGCATATAAAATTCATTGCTCAATTGAATTTCATCAGCAGGGAGATCAAGAGATTGCCTTTTTCTTTTTCGCTTAAGCATCATGGTGGCAGAATCAAGTTTGTCCAAATCGACTTCAAAGCAGAATCCGAGGATCGAAGAGGAATTTTCGAGTGGGGTCCAAGGTAGAAATTTTGCATGTAATACTGAGCACTGAAAAGTGCTGTTTAAATTTGATGTAGCATTAGGTAGCAGTAACACAGCAAAAAGCAAATAGATCCACATGGCAAGAGAGCACGATGAGGACTGCAGAAAGATAATTGTTTTTCTCTACAACTTGGTCTCCGAAGTCATTTCGACCAGAAGTGACGTTTTCGTGCTACAATTTATTGAAAAATATGACGCCATTTTGAAAACAATTTCAACATCCAAAATGGCCGAGTTTTTGTAAAAATGTAAATGATTGCCCATAACTCACAATTATGCAAATCGGAGAAGACCGAGTTTTTTCGATTCGTTATTTGGCGTGGAACTGCTCTCTGGAAATTTCCTTAAAATAATGCAAAAGGAGTTTTAAGTTAACTAATTATTTCATGTTTTGTTGTTGTTTTTTTTTTTAATTTATGTTTTATTGTCCCGCCCCACCCCCTCGCCAGTTTCTAATGTGATGCGACAAAAGTAAACAATATTTGTTCCGGTACTATGAGAACTTACTGGTCATGTTTTGATGGTTCAAGATTGTAAACTTGTCATTATTGTTATGAACATTTTCTTATATTTCCATTCTATTTAATACACGACATTTACAGAATAATCCAAACAATAACTAGGGGAAATAACGACTACGGCTTGTTTACCTATTTTCGTCAGGGGTTAAAATAAAGTCCTTGAGCGCTGGTTTGTTGCATGAAGGTGTAAAAAACGAACACTCTAAAACTTCATCAACTCCCCTGACGATCATAGATGCAGAAGTGCCGAATCCGCCATTTCCCCTACATAAATGCCGTAATAACTAAACAAAACAACATCCATTTCTCCAGGACCAGGCCTCAGTTTCCCGTCACTCCAAGCGGACCTGAAGGTGCTTGCACTGGACGCCATCGATCCCAACACGGTTCGGGTGATCTTCATCGTTCCCCAGGTATACGTGGGTCTACACGGCCGCGTAGAACTTCGGTACACCCGCACTCGCAACAACGACACTTCAACGTGGCAAGCGCAAGTATTCGCCCCACCCGATGATCTGATCGCCACTTCCCAGCTGGAATTTGAACTGCCCGGTCTGGAACCGAACACCGAATATCGAGTTAAGATCACTCTGGTCCTTCGTGACGTTAACTCGCAACCGTCTAGTCAAATCTACAACGTCCGAACGCCGTCCGATCGTGTCATAACCCCACCACCGTTGATCAACACCGATCTACATTATCCGCATCTGGGACAGCCAACAAACTTCCTCAAGGAGATCATCCAAGATCCGGTCCTACAGACGAACGATGTGAATGCTACGTGGGCTAAGATCACGTGGCGCAAGCTGGACGATGAAGAGCTGGACTACGTAGATGGCATTCAGCTTCGGTACAAAGAGATCGACGGAATGGTATACGATGCAACTCCGTTGATCCACCGGGCGCTGAGCGAGTACACGCTGGAGAACTTGAAACCACAAACTCGGTATGAGGTAGGAATATTCTTCATTCCATTCCCGGGACATGGCGAGGAGGTTCGTGCAGGTGAGATGCTACAGTTTGCCACTGCCCAGCGTGTTGACATGTACGGTTTTGAGGTGGTGGTTAACGTAAGCAAAGTTAAGGCGAGCAGCGTCGAAGTGAGCTGGTCCGGTGTCCCCTACCCAGAGGACAAGTACATCAACATCTATCGTGCCATCTATCAGAGTGATAGCGGCAAGGAAGATTCGAGGTTGGAATTTGATTCAGTACATCTGTAGAGTGGGTCGTTAACGGGGGAATTACTTTAATTTCAGTGTATTCAAAGTGGCGAAACGGGATTCGACGACGGGAACTCTCATCATGGATCTTAAACCAGGCACTCGATACAGGCTATGGTTAGAAATGTATCTCACAAATGGAAGCATCAAGAAGAGCAATGTGGTGAACTTCATCACCAAACCGGGCGGACCGGCAATTCCTGGCAAAACAGGCACGAGCGCTTCAAGGGCATTCCTTTAAGATCCTTTACTAAAATCGTACATCTTAATTACAGGTAAATTATCGGTAGCTGGCACAGATTCCTCCCCGGGTGATTACTACGGACTGCTTGTGGTAGTTGCGGTGATAGCCGCTCTGGCCGTAATGTCCACCCTGATACTGCTGCTCATCCTCACCAGACGACGAGTGCAAAGTGCCACAATTACTCCTCCTCGTAAGAATGAAGTTTCCTACGACAATCCTAGCTACAAAGTCGAAATCCAACAGGAAACAATGAGTAAGGATTAAAATTGTCTCCAAACGCTTCCTCTCCTCTAAAGACATGACCTCTTCCGCAGATTTATAACAGCGAGAATTCACATCCCAAACTGCCCCAACGACGAAATGGTTTTAATCTATTTATCTAACTGCGACTGCCATCGAAAGGCATATTCTCTGTATATTTATTCTAACCAATAGAACCCCTGTCCAATTGTACATAAGCTAGAAGCCGAAAGCATTCCAGATGGGTTATGCATGTGAAACAAAACTCCGTCCTCAAATTCTCACAGTCAGTCCCTGATTTCCATTAGATTAAAAGTCCAAAGCACTGAACACACACCCGATTACCTATAACGAACGTTGTGCACGTATGCAACGCTCTTCGAGAATTCCCAGTGACCATTTCTAGTAAAAAAAACGTAGAGTCAATTCGAACAGTGTTCGAACCGTTACGATGTATGAATGTTGCGCGAGTAGTTAGCATTATTGAACGAAAATACACTATCGCTTACGATTCCAGTGTAAGGTTAGACCCGATCTTAGTTCAAGGCTGTATATATTTATTCTAAACTGAATCATTTTAAGCTCATTCGACCTAGATAAGTACTTGTATGATCTTTGAATACTTTTTTTTTTGTAAATAAGAGATTTATTTTTAAATAATCGTTGGGAAATGTTGTTTTCTTGGAATCCGAAATCCAATCCTCTTAATTGAGCAATCCAAATTAAAATAATGCGCGGTGGCAGGAATAAGTATTAACCGACGGTGATAAGCCTGTGACAGCCCTTGAAATTTCGTTAATTTTCTACAAAATATAGGAATTTTAATGTAAATCCATACAAATCACTTGTTAAAATGGATGAATCTTGTACAAAACTCAAAACCTGTTTTGTAATGCTTTATTGTTTAATTAAAAAAAACGCTAGCAGTAACGAAATGTTTAAATAATATAAGGGAAATGGATGTATTGTTGGCCTACATGTCTCTAATTTGGGCTCATACATAAATTCAGTAATCGACTAAATTTTCAATAGCGACCAATAATATTCATTAGAACCGTCCCTATGACGCGTTCATCTAGATAAAATTGATAAATAGCAGATCTTAGATCCATAGGCCAATATTAGAGCCATTTCCCCTATATAGCCTAGGGGCAGGCGGATAGAATCTCTGGAACCAATTGAGCTGTCAAATAGTGGAACCAATCGAGCAAATCACGACCAACAACAGAAAAGAACACATCAGCTATTGGGAACAAAAAGTTGGAAACCCTTTTCTCGTGACTCAAGGCTAGCCTACGCAAACTAACACCATCTTTGGGTTGAAAAAAATTTCCCCTATCCGATGATGCCGGTAATTTGCGTTCGATTGGCGAGGAAAGAATAATCAACGTTTTGTTTATAAAAGTTGATAGTACCTTTTCAATTGTTGGTCTAAAATATATTGAATTGGTTCCGCTTTTTTATAGATCGAAATTTTATCCGCAAGACTATGAATAAAGCGACTATACTCCAAGCCAGTAACGATAGGAATCTCTTTCGAATCGTCGTGAATCGAAACAAGGCACCCTAATTAGTTAGCGGAAAACGGTCCTGTGCTGCTGATGTCCATCGCGGAAGATAGTACCAGAGCTGAGCCAAAAAGTTGAGCACGATTCTTCGGGACCTACTAGTCTTAGAGTTACCTCTATGGTATCACTCTAGAAGGTCCCGAAGAAACGTGCTCAACTTTTTGGCTCAGCTCTGGTACTATCCCAGGTCCCGGAGATCCGAGTAGGCTCTGCCCGCGAACGGTTGGTTTTGTTTTCGCTGGCGCTGATTTCATCTGTTTCCGCATATTTTTTAACTGTACCAAATCAAAAAATATTAGTTTTCGCGTATGGATAAGTGTAAATTAAAATCTATCACGTTTTAAGAAGTTTGTTTAGTGATATTATATTTTCCCAAGCTAATCGATGCACCCCTCGAAACATAGAAAAAATCCACGAACCTCTCATTTTATCTGTCAAACTTTCATAGCGAATCAAAACAAACATAGTGTAGTACTAGAATTTCGACTAGAATGGGATACGTTAATCGATTTGCTTGGGACCAATAGGCTAGTCGAGTAGTGAGCCAATTTAAAATCGTTAGTTTCCACCGGTTGGTACCACAGCTGAGCCAAAAAGTTGAACACGTTTCTTCGGGACCTTCTGGTCTTAGAGTTACCTCTATGGTTATAGCATAGAGGTAACTCTAAGACCAGAAGGTCTCGAAGAAACGTGTTCAACTTTTTGGCTCAGCTCTGGTACTATCTCTCATCGATTTGACTGCTCAATATAATTAGTAACCGTGCGGAACGATAGCATCAGCTTAGCCTATTGATTTTAATACCATGAGTTTGTAAATTTAAATTTTCTCTAATGCAAGAATTAATTTCCATATTATTTATTATTCAATTTACCCCCGAATTACGGTATTCAATTTAGAATTGCGTTTTGCCTCTTTGTTTCAATGCTACATAAAAACAATTCAAATGAGTAAAAAGAATTGTAAACACCCATGAAGCCGTTGGTCCCCGGTTCATGAGTTGATGGGTCGATAGGTAGGGTCCAGGTGTGGGAGCTGCCTTCCTGGCACGTCGGTAGCATTGGTGCTCAGCACGGAAAACAAAATCGACGGAAAAAAAACAAACCAAAGGAAAAAAAAGCCTTGATGTCTACATTTATCTTCTATACATACGTAAAGTCTTCAAAAGCAATCTTCTTAAGAACATTACTTGGGATGTTCAGCAAACAAACAAAACTCAGCCATTCATTGGCCTCAATGACCTTCATTTGCAATTAATCAAAGCTAATTTATTGAACGATCTTTTACCTCAACTGAACAATTGGTGACCAACAAGCTCAGATATATTGGCAGGCCAACGTATAAAACTAAATCCGAAGTTCAGAGCTAAACTTTATGATTGAACGTAAAATGAAAATAATTTGCTTAAGCAGAAAAAAATATGATAAATTAAAAAAAAAATACAACTAATATTTGCTCAGCCTCCATGGCCGGGGGTTCTCCCAAGTGGGGGCCCGGGACAATATCCCCCTCTCAAATCCGGCCCTGGATTGCACATACAAAGTTTTATGCAAATCGGAGAAAGTCGAGTTTTTCCGATTCGTCATTTGGCGTGAAGCTGCTCAAAAGGAATTCTTCAAAACTTTCACAATTTCCGAAAACGCATATCTGCTTTTGATGTCCCTGGGACTTACTTCGTGTTTTATATTAACAAATTAGTTTTTACACTATAGATACTGATTCGTGCTGTCGGCACTAAAAATGGAATAATGAAATGAAACATCAACAAATTCAATGATTGGCCGCTACAACTATCACTACCGAGTTCAGGTCCATTAAAGTCTATATTTAGGTACGTACTATCTTTATAACTAAACTAATCTTAAGAAATCGTCAAGTCTCGCCCTTTCAGTCAGCCATAAATTTGTACAGATCTCTACCTTTCTTGAGCAAAAATCCTTGAATATTTAGTGCATCCAGCAGTCGATTGAAATCCGTTCCCACCCCAGCCATCTGTTTCAGTTCGGCCAGCGAGAAGATGGTTTTGTTGTGTGCTGCCACCTTCGTCTGGAGCAACCGGACGAACCGCTTGACCAAACTCGTCTGACTTACTCCGGCTCCGTTCATCAGCCTGTTTGGTTGCAAATCACCCACATCGTTGCTGAACACATCGATCATACTGTACCGCAGGATGGCGATAACATCCTGGGCGTGTTTCAGCGTCGCTTCCGATTCCAGCTCCGTCCGTGCCCGGGCTTGAGTAAGACGTACCAGAGCTTCCAGCTGACGGGTCGTTACCGGAATCGAGTCCATTCCCTGCTGAGCGTGACGCATTTCGGTGTAGAAATTTCGAATCTCCAACCCCGCTTCTTCCGTCAACTTGGGTTGGACGTTCTTGCGGGCGTAGGCTGAAAAGCGGAAATTTGATCAATCGAAGTTTAAGATGACCAGGTTCGGAAATTTTACCAATGTATTTCTGTATCAGTTGGACTGGCAGCAAGTCCATTTTATCGTTGGCTGTGATCTTAAGCCGTTCGTGAAGAGGTGCTTCCGCCTGTGATCCGTGCAGACTGGTGCTACCCATTCCGGTAAGTAGCGCTTGGAAAGCAGCCCCCTGCGGAAATTGTCCTTCTTTCGTTCCGTGCAGCCTCTGAACATGTGCGGCTAGTAAATTATCCAGATGGGCATTTGGTCGATCAAGTTGAATAAACACCAAATCGAAACGAGACAGGAGAGCTGGTTTCATTTTGAGGTTTTCCGAAACGGTTTTTGATTTGTCGTAGTGTCCTCCAGAAGGATTGGCAGCAGCAAGAATACATGTCCGGGCCGGTAAGGAACAAATTACTCCAGCTTTAGCCACGCTAACCACCTGTTGTTCCATTGCTTCCAATAGAATCTGATGGTTACCGGACATTTTATCAAACTCATCGATGCAACAAGCACCTTGATCTGCCAATACCAGTGCACCTGCTTCCAGGGATCCTCCTGAGCCCTTTTCTGTTCGAACAGCTACCGTCAGTCCAGCGTTCGAAGTGCTGTTTCCGCAAACGAAAATTCCTCTTGGTGACACCTCTGCACACGATTGTAGCATTTGACTTTTCCCAATTCCGGGATCACCAACAATGAGGACATGAATCTCAGAACGACGACCTTTCGTGATGGATGAGCCTCCAAACAGCCCAAGCAACAGACCGGCCTTAATCATTTCGTGTCCGTAAATCATTGGACACAAAGATTGAACCAGCAAACGAAAAGCGCATGGTTCCGATCGAATGGCACGTATGGCTTCCATATCCAAATCAGAAAACTCTGCAGCACGATGCCAGCTGGTCGACGAGTTCTTGTTGCTACGAACAGCAACTGCCTGCATGTACATTTTGTACATACTGGCCGTGTTCCGAGCCTTCGAGCTGTTCTCTTCCTGGGGTCTTCCTTTCAGGATTCCTGTAATGGTCACATCATCACCAGGGCAGACGGCATCGACAAGTTCGTGAGTGAGCTCGACTTCGATACTTCTAGGAACCTGACCATGTCCGGAGCGAGCACCTAGCATCGATTCCTGCAGCCGTACCGTTTGAAACGCTTCTGTTCGAGTAAATATCGACGATCTCTGAGCCATAAAATTACTTCTTGCCTTACAGCCTTCACGGCAGGATGTAGGAAGAGTCAGAACACCATCGACCTGGCGGATGGCTTGCTGGCCATGACATAGGGAACATCGGAACGCCATCCACGAATTCAGCACCTAACATAAATACACTATCAATATGATAACCTCATTCCATGCCTCGGCTATCAGACCTGCGAATTACCAGCTCGGATGATTGTCCCACGAACGGCAAATAGTTTGCCAAAGCTGTTGATTTTCATATGACGCAAATGAACCTCTGGCCCGTGACCTACGACACGAGGCCGGATTGCTTGCAGCATTAATTTGTCCTGGGACGCTGAGGATTCCGATGATTGGGAGAAAATTTCTCCGGAAAGTGATTTGGTGACAACCTGGTGCATGGCCAAACCGGTCATGGCCAACGTTTGCTCTGGATTGTCAACTAAGTCTTGCCGGAATGTAGGCCAGTCTTGTACGAAATTGGCATCCGCTTCGGCAACGGCGATATCTAACTCAAACCACAAATTTGTCCTGATCGCTGCTAGGGCGTACTGATCCGGATATTTTACGTAGTGACGTTCTGTTACTTGAATTTTGTTCAATGTTTGTGATCCTTCACGGTACCCTAAAAACACCAAAACTGTTCTAGCATTGAATTCAATACAATACCCAATTCAACTCACCTTCCTGCGGTAGGTACAGCTTCCAGCCCGGATACTCACACGGTTCTTTCTCGAGCATCACCGATAGAAGTGGTTGAGTTTGAGAAGCACCCGGCAGCAATCCGGACGATGAAAGATCGTTCTTATCGCCACCGTCCATTCGCGGAAGGGCAAAGCCCACGGGACGTTCACGAGGTGGCCCAGAAGCACCACGGTGGTACGGACGCCAAAATCCTCGCCCGCGCCGACCAGCATTTCCCCGTGAACCTCGAGACGGACGGCCACCGCGCGAAGTGGAGGGTCCTCCTGCTGGTTCCATTTTGTGCGATTTCAGATAGTTTAATAGGTAGCACCTGGGAGTAGCACTAGAGTCGGTGTATAATGAGTCACGCCAAGAGTGAAGCCAAGTCTACCTATCGAACCGTCAAACCGGCTACTTATCGGGCAAAGTAAATAAACATTACGATGCTATGAAAGGTCCACGAAAGGTATTGCAATAAAATATAAAATATAATCGAAGAAATGAGCATAAACACGCAGTGAGCTTTAAATTGTCATGGGATACGTTCGGTAATGATCAGTAATGAGAATTTCTACTATTTTTTGTTAAGATAATTTGACAAAATCACTGATATAATGATTTACTACAGCCGCATGTTTTTTCTCTCGCTAGAAGTCATTTTAAGGCTCTGAACCATTTGGCGAATTATTTTAACTTTTGGTTAAAATTTGACAGATGGAAAGTTATCGATTAACCCTGCTATCCGAGCGTGGTTACTTCTGACAGACAAGAAGTTAAATTTTGACAACTGTGGCTCGAAAACCGGTCGATCGACAGCACGGGGATTTTCGAACATAGAAAATAACTTTCGAAATGTCACTTTTAACCACGAGTTAAATTTAACTCGGCAAATGGTTCACAGCCTAAGTTGTTGTAGAAGTTCTCTGTTGCCAAGTGAAAAGAATGGGAATCTTTCGAAAACCGTGATGCGAGTTCAACTGTTTTTCTCTTGGCGTGACTCATTACACGGTGTTTCGCGAAAACCCATTAATGGGTATAAAAATACCCATTTCCGCTAAAAGTGCCCCTCCTCATTTAATGGGTAAACTATGGTTTACTCATAAATGGGTAAATGGGCGGTCTGTCAATAAATGTGTGTTTTTTCACCCATTTTCTTATATTGTGTTTACCGTAAAATGGGTGAAAAAATACCCATTTTTACAAATGGAGGATGCAAGCGCTCGTTGATGTAAAAATGTTTCTAAAACATTCACAATAAATGCAGGTGTTCCGCTCAAATTTTTCACGAAACATTATAATACAAATTATCCATTGTATTGACTTATCCGTAAGCCTCTCCAACGTTTTGGATTCTAACATTTTCCGGAGATCGTCTATTTTCGCCAAATATGCTGCGGACAGTAACTGTTTGCATCGAGGTTTGCATTCCCAATGAGCCGGTGACGGAAATGAGACGATAAAATTTCGAAGTGTTTTTTCACCCATTAATGGGTAAAAAATATACCCATTATTCAACCGTGAACTGATTCTTTAAATGGGTATTTTTTCACCCATTTTATGATTTCAAAATTCCCCCATTTTTTGACAGCTGCATACATGGTTTGAAAATGGGTATTTTTTTACCCATTAATGGGTTTTCACGAAACACCGTGTAGGTAGCACAATTCTGGAGTAACATGTCAGAAGGGCCTATCTAGAATTTGACAGTTTTGAAAAAAATAAATTTCAAATTTTGGTATAAATTTTCAAATCCTATTTAAAACAGTAACATTATAGAAATCATTAAGGAACACTAAAAGAAGCACAAAAACGAAAGCTTTAAGTATAATGCATCATATCCGTCGAAAATCCACTACCAACATGTAAAAAATGCGAAAATGTGAAAATAAACCGTAATAGTCCCTTTATACTCGTTACCCTGAGTTAGACCCTTTCTGTTAGCACGTATTTTGTCTTTAATTTTAGTTAGAACCTTTTAGTTGAATCTTTATTTACATGGCATTTTGATTAGATCTTTTTTGACTAGCTGCAGATTGTTTTGAATTCTTTATTTATTGTGATAAAACCGGTGGGTTGGGTATTAATTGGCCGATACGGCCGACGATTTAGTCATCTACGTATCCAACTGACACCCTTAAATGGACGTACAGGCTATGGACCGCCTCTATCGTATTGTTCAGAAAAAGCAGTTTCATCAACAAAAATACCGTTGAAAAGATTGTAGAACGGGCAGAAAAATAGAAATCAAGATTGTTATTATAAGCTATAGCTTTGTAGAATACAACACCTACGTGGCGATCAATGAAGAAAGCGGAAAGTTAGACTGATAATGTTTTCCGTTATAAGACTTCGGACTACACTAATAAGAGTTAGATTTGTAACGTTCAACATATTTTATTTAATAAATTGTATTTGTATTAATATATGTGGATAACGATTGATGACAATGCTGAACAATAATTGTAGAACGGTTGTTTGGGTTTGCTGGGTTGATGGGTTTTTGCTGGGAAACCAGTGAGTGATTTGTACTACATAGGCCACTCGTTGTCGACTGCCTCTAAATATTCCACTGGCCAGTCGTCAGTGTTTGGATCCAAATCAGCATCGAAGTGGTCTTTTTCAATCAGTTTTCTTTTTCTGCCTCGTTTTGGTGCCACGAGATTTTTAAGTAGCGTGTCATAATACTGCTTGTTCTGAATGAATGGCATCAACTTTTTAAGATCATCCAGCTTCTCCTTGGGTAATGGAATCGGTTCTTTTTCTATTGGCAAGAGCTGAGGGAGAGGCATATCTGTGTCTTGAAATACTTTCTCATCGCCCAAAGTGAAACTAGAGAAGTCTTGTTCCTTAATATTCGTTTTATAAAATACAACGCCAGGAGAGGTAGTGCGGTATTCAAACTGCATGATTTGTTTGAATTTGATTAGGTGTCCTGACGAGTTATGCTTTGGGCGTTTATATCTGGCTTCAAGTGATTTTAAAGCGAAAAAATCGCTTTGCTCTAATTCCGTAACATTGAACGGAATTTTTCTTTTAACCTGTGATATAAAAACCGCCCAGTCCCGCGGCGTTTCAATATCCATCGTGTTCTGCTTCTTGGCCCGCTCAATGGCAGCGTGTACAGAGTCCACCTCCATATGGCTATGGCCACTGACCATAAATTTATGCTGAATGGTCATTTCTCGGTTTGCTCTTTTGCACTCCTCAATGAAAAGGCTCATTGTCATGCACATTGTAATATTATGATTCTGTCCACCGCACCTATCTGAATAAAGTTTGACAACACGAACTTTAGAGTAAGAATCTCCATTTAGTAGAGACCGAAGGTTGTGTAGGATACACGACCCAATTTCTTGTGATCCCCGGCGAGCCTTTGATTCATCCCACAGGAAGCATCGAGCGGAGTTTCGTCCCTGGCAAGTTTCGAAAATGGTGAGATTGAGAGTGTATAGTTGCCGGCTGTAAAATGCTTGCCCGCACAAAAGATGGGGTGTTGGCAGGCATTTTTGTAAATCGAACGATGCGGTATATACCGTATGATCGACCTTAGCATCTTGTACATCCCTTTTTTTCGCTGCGTGTACATACTGCGCCAGTTCTTGATGCTCTCGCTGGATGGCTTGGATTTTTTCAAGTTCCGCCGTGTTAGCATGTTGTTTTATTTGTATATTCAGTCTATCACACTCGCAGCACGTATCCGTTTTAGGCTTGCGGAAGCTCATATTAAACTGTTTAAATATGAGCCGAAAGCTATTATAGTGGACTGGATTTAAGCTGTCTTTTGTACATTTTGATTTGTACATTTCATACATCTTTGCAACGTTCAGGTCACTTGACAAATACAACTTTGATGACTTTTTCCTGCTGTAGTGGGACGTATAGGCTGGATATGATAGAATATGATCCTCGATGTATTGTTTTGCTTCGATGCTGATTGGATTTCTATTACTATTATCACCTCGCTTATCGTCGGCACTGACTCCCAAGCCGTTCAATTTCTTCACGGTTAAGCATCTCATTTTTTTGGATGTAACATCCAACGTGGCCAAAAACATCGACTTGCACACTCGTGCCATCCCACCAACTCCTGGAAGAAAATATCTTACAGTGTATTCTCTTTTCGAATTGACAACCTAAAATAAAATGCAGAATAAAATTTAAAGCATACAAATATAAATATGTTTTTAGCTCACCGTATGAGTGTTCACATGCGATACAGCGATATGGCAACTCAAAAACTGATTTTGCGCAGAAAACGAAAGCTTCAAAAAATTATTCAAAATCGTCACAGCGAAGCTTTGAGCAGGCACATGCTTGCTTAACACTGCGTGCTGCAACCTTGGCACCATTGTATCGGCTGTATTCCAGTCCTTTCTCTTTTAAATTTCTATTTTTCGTTCGTTTCCGAAGAGCATTAAGCTTGACTATGACGTTCTCTTTTTCCAACTCGATAAATCCAAGGTCATCTATTCCAACGACAGCGGATCGGGAAGACGGACCTGTTCATAAAATCTATATTCATAACCACAACTTAATCAGAACAAAACATTATTAAATACCTTCGGAGTAATCAGACTGTAAGCACTTCTTTGGATCAACACAAGATTTTACGCCAACGATTTCTTCATCCTCGTCCCCAATCACTGCTTGGTTACGATACGGCTCAAAGTATTCGTGTATCGAAAAATCGTTCAGAAGAGTAGCGTCACCAACTTGTTCATCATCATCTTCATCACTTCGTGGAATCCAGTCCTCATCTGTGATTAGCGGAGCTTCCTTCTTCTGATCTGTTCCCGCTGATTTTTCTGAACATAAATTAATACTATGTCCATGATCGCGATCATTAAATGAAGTACCTGAACGACTGGTGTCGCAAGAATCCGTGTTTCGCATTGGTTGACTTTTCTCTATTGTGTGAGCACTGGTGATTGAATGTTCCGGCTGAGCCACGGCTTGGACACTACCGGCAGAAGTATCGTGCATTGCATATCGTGGTTGGACTTTGTAACCAAAACTGCGAGCTAATGCCGGACTGGGTACCGTAACAGCACTGCTGTTTTTGTACGGACCTGTGTGAGAATGTGTAATAACATTCATGTCCAGATGTGCCAAAGGGCTACGAGCATAAGCTTGCTGGCTGCTGTTAACCGATTGATAAAATGTAATAGGCAATCTAGAAATGATTTTATTCACAGGAGCCAAATTTAGTGGAGCACAGTCATTCACTGGCATAGATGCAGTACGTTCGTTACGACTGACAGGAGCTAAGTCCAGTGGGGTATCGAGAACACTACACGTCTCATTGCTTCTGTACGACAAATC